AGGAAGGTTAGGAAGAGGAATGACAGGAAGAGTAGGAGTAAAGGCACTTGGTCCAGCAAAGCTTATGGGATCATTCAGGTCCAGAAATAGAGTGAAGGGACGGGATGAGGAAACCATGGTTTAGATGTGAGATGTGTAAACGAAATGAGTTGTAGAGAAATAGAAGAGAACAGACTTAGGTTTGGCCTCCTCCATTCAGTTTTTTTGGTCTCTCGATGAGGAAGAAGAACAGAAGAGAGTGGTGAAGAAGAGATAGAATAAGAGATAGAAGAGAATGAGGTGAAGAAAAAGAAGCAGACGAGTGTGATTAAGAAGAAGGTTGAAGAGAAGAGGGTGAAGAAAAGAATACAAGAAGGGAGAGATAGCCGAGGCGAGCGGCAATCGAGGAGAGCTACTTTTGTCGATCGGCTGAATCAAAAGCGAGGCCGCGTGTTCGACGCGATTTTCAACGAAAAAGAGAGGCGCAGGCGATTCATATATGTATATATATGTTTTGATTATCTATTTTTTGATACCATTTATCACTATCATTTTCGTCCTCCTCCTCCTCCAGATTCTGACCCATGATTTCCCTTTGATAATGTCACGGGAGGAGAAATTATATGATGTTATGTATTATGGTATTATTTTCAAATTATGGTATTATTTGAAAACTAATCTGATGATTATGTATTTATAGTTTGATATCTTAGTCTCATACCATATCTCTAATTAAAGCTTATTTATTACACATGTGCTAACCTATGTATATAGAAATGAATTCAGGAAGCATGACTTGATGGGGAGCTTTTCTTACTCCCAAATCAAATCAAAACATCATTGTGTGCCATCATCAAAAAAGGAGAGATTGTTAGACTTATTTATTTTGATGATTTATTTAATTATGTTTTAATTTATTTGAAAGAGAAAAATAGAATCCAAAATTTATTTTGATGATTTATTTGAAAGACAAAAATAGAATCAAAATTTATTTTGTCTCATTATTTCTCACCTAAACCTTTATCCTAAATGTTGTTAGAATGTATTTAATATTTGATTAAATCAGGAGTTCAAACAGCCCAAAATAAAGGTTCAAACAACCTAGCACAACAGCAAGCCAAAAGGTTCAAAAGGTTCAAGTGAAAGATATTCAAATTAGTAATGATGGAAGTACAACGGCTATAAACGTCTATAAAGGTTTAAAAGGCCAAAAGGTTCAAAAGGTTTAAGTGGAAGATTTTCAAATTTGTAATGATGGAGTGGAAGATATTCAAATTGGTAATGATAGAAGTACAACGGCTATAAACAGCTATAAATTCAAATGACTACAACGGTTATAAATAGCTATAAATTCAAATGAATACAACGGCTATAAACGGCTATAATTTTCATTATATATACCAAAGCCTCTAATGTAAACAAGTTACAAAAAAACCTGAAAATATTCTTTGATCTATAATCACTCACATCTATTCTCGGAAATTATACACTGAGCCTTATAGCTTTAAGCCCATCTTTCTTATGTGAGATTTACAGAAAAATCAAAACTTCATTTTATATGTCTATCTTTGAAAGATATTTATTATAAGTTTTCTTTGAAAGCAAAAATACCATTTTATCTTATAAAAGTGTTGCAAACACTGTGTTCTTGAAATCTTGAGAGTGATTATGAATCACCTAAGATTTGCAAGGGCTTGGACTTGTGAAGTGTGTGTAAAATCCATGGAGGATTGCTCCATTTGTAATTAGGTTGCTAGCACCCCTGTGAAACTAGAAGATAGTGGAAAATCTCAAGTGAAGCTTGAGGAGGGCCGAGTTGAAACCGAACAATTATAAATTTGTTTGTCTCTCTCTCTCCCTTAACTCTTTATTTTATTTTAAATTGCCATAGCTATATTTCACATTTTTACTGTGCTAAAATCATTAACTGACATAGTTGTTAAAACACTTGTTTTAATTATTTTTATTTCATTAATTATATTTATCTATTGTGTTAGTCATAATTTTTATTAGGATATTATTAATTTTAATTATAAAAACCTAATTCACCCCCCTCTTAGGTTGTCTTTTGGGTAACACAGGGACATCAGTAAGGAACAAAACAGGGTAAGGGGTGTCTACATTGTGTGGCACATGATGCTCAACAAATAATTCTAATGTGTTTGCAGAGCCTAGATATTGAAACATTTCTAAAACATCTTGGTCAGTACCCAATCTTCTTAACCCTCTAACCAAATCTTCTGTGGGAATCCTATAAAAAAAAACTGTTTGAAATCACATATTCCCAACTTCTTCACCATATATATCAGCTCGGGCACAGAAAATGTATCAACATTAACAGTATCAAACGCATGTACTTTACCCTCAAAGTAACTCCTAGGCCCCACCATTACTATCTATAAAATACCCACTATGATGTAAAACCAATTTCATATTTATATCATCCATAAATAAACAAATATATCACAAACAAAAAAAAATGCATCAAAAATAAGTGGACTAAACAAGTGGCATGGGACCAAAATTGGAGATAAAAAATTTAATAAATCATTAGTCCATCACTCAGTCAATGCAGTGGTCCAACCACTCATTTAATGCAATGGTCCATCAATGGAGATAAAAAAACTTCATAAAGCACCCAAGACATTAAAGTAACCAACACACACACATACCCATGCAATAAAGTAAGATACATACACAGAGTTTGTCATTACTTTATTCACAGAATCAGAAAAGAAAAAACAAACTTCATATACAAATTACAAGAAGAAAGAAACAAAACAAAACATATATATCACTTACCAACACTTCAAATAATAGTAACCAGCAGTACTCAGATTTTCTTCCAAATTGCAACAACCCATTTTCCCTAAATCAATGAAATCGAAGAAATTATGGCAAATTGTAACCCTAATTGGTGAAATTCAGGATTTGGGGACTTTTATATGGGTCAAAATAAGGAACGACGTCGTTTTGGGTTGGTTTAGGCACCAAAAATGGCTTCCTCCGTTACTTCATGAAACAAAGATGGACGAGGGGCATACATTGTGACACGGAATGAATTACGGGGGTTCAAATTGTCAAAATTAAAAATCTGGGGTTTAATTTGCAAAACACGCTAAACCTTGGGGTTTTATTTGTAATTTGCCCTAATTTTTATTTTAAATATTTTTATTTTTTATTTTAAATATTTATTTTATATCATAAATATATTTTTAAATATTTTAATTTTTTTGTTATGTGTTGGTTATGATTTGAGTGACCACCAGATGAGAGGTGTCCATTCAAATGGAATCATTATACATTTGGTATCCTTCTTATTTCAAAATATTTTTTAAAACTCATAATTAAATAAATTTTTTTCTTTCAAAACTTAACTCACAATTTTACACTCAAATCACAACTTAAAAAAGAGAATCACATTTTCAAACTAAATCAAATGCAACCTAAATTATTGTTAAAAATTTTATTGGATTCTAAATATGGACCACCAGATGAGAGGTGTCCATTCAAATGGAATCATTATACATTTGGTATCCTTCTTATTTCAAAATATTTTTTAAAACTCATAATTAAATAAATTTTTTTCTTTCAAAACTTAACTCACAATTTTACACTCAAATCACAACTTAAAAAAGAGAATCACATTTTCAAACTAAATCAAATGCAACCTAAATTATTGTTAAAAATTTTATTGGATTCTAAATATGGACCACCAGATGAGAGGTGTCCATTCAAATGGAATCATTATACATTTGGTATCCTTCTTATTTCAAAATATTTTTTAAAACTCATAATTAAATAAATTTTTTTCTTTCAAAACTTAACTCACAATTTTACACTCAAATCACAACTTAAAAAAGAGAATCACATTTTCAAACTAAATCAAATGCAACCTAAATTATTGTTAAAAATTTTATTGGATTCTAAATATGGACCACCAGATGAGAGGTGTCCATTCAAATGGAATCATTATACATTTGGTATCCTTCTTATTTTTGTTTTTTAAATTCTAAGATAGAAAAATTAGAAACTTAAATGATAATAGCTTCTTTGATAAACTATTTTCCAAATTTTAAAAAATTGTTTTCACAATCGTTTGGCATTGATTTTTTGGACTAAACTAATTACAAAAAGATAAAATAAGTTAAAAAATTAATAAGATAAAATATTAAATCTAAACTATAATTATTATTTTTTTTTTTCACAAAAAAATTTAAAAAATCAATCCAAAAAACTCTTTAATCGGAGCTAAAATGGTAAAAAAAAAAAAAAAAAAAAAAAAAAAAAAAAAAGGCACATGCCAAACCGCAACAAAAAGAGTAACAGAAGTGTTTTGAGAAGTTGGTAAAAAGTTAGTTTTTGACTTTTTATCAAGTTTTTTAGCTTTTTGAAAAGTAATTTAAGAAGTTGGTAAAAAACTAACTTTTGACTTTTTAGTTTAATATTTATTTATGGTGTCAAATCAAATTAAAATGATCAAAATATCCTTATTCAAAATAAAAAAATTGCCCCAATTTATAATTACACACTTACGTTTTTGACACTTTCCAAACTAATTTTGTTACGTTTTTACTACTTATATTTTTAGATATTTTAATAAAAACGTGACTTTTTATTTTTATTCTCAAAACGATACTCATAATAAGCAATGGGTGGGCCATGAGCCCCATGTGAGAGCCGAAGTTGATCTAGGCCGAAAGTTATCAATGCATTGATAAGCCCAATATAGCCTGCTGCAATTCTATAGTTTGGGAACCAGCCTATTGGTTTTTTATCAGAGCCCTACTACTAATAGTTCAATTGAAATAGTAGGAGGTCAAAGAAATCCCTCTAAAACCCAAAATAAACAAATTAAATTAATTCTGCTGCATGTATGCACTGCAGGCAGAGTCGAATATCAAAAATATTAGATAACCAAATCAACCAATTAAATCAAGTCGTAAATGTTATTAAATAGAATCGGTTACATATATCTTTCTTCTTCACCTAATTTATCAAAAATATTAGGTATTTTAAAAAATTGACTAAATATCTGACAGAAATGAAGGATTCACCTAGACTCACATTATATAGATATGGCGTCCATATGGACATTTATTAATAAAAATTTTAGGTCTCCAGTCCAGCCTTACTAGTCGAATATTCATTCCTCCTCCTCTATCTTCGATCAATAAGCAGCTGTGTGGATTGTATTTGTATTGTATCGTGGAAGCGAGATTTAGGGTTTTGAGAGAGAGAGAGAGAGAGAAATGGCTTTAACGAACTTTATTCTGACAGTGGTCGGTGTGAGCGCAGTGGTTCTGCTGCTGAGGAGCGATGTCAAACAATCGGCCACTATTTTCAGGCGAAACGTTCGTCAGATTCGCCATTGGCTTGAAGAAGAGTCCTCCAATGCTGCCAAGTATGCCCCCTTTCGATCTTGTTATTTCTGTTGTGATTATATTTCATAAATACATGTATTATGAATGAGCTTGAGATTAGTGTTTCTTTGATTCACTGGATTTTTTTTTATTTAGCATATGGATTTCTCGAAATACAATGAATGTAATACTCGTCTGCTTTCTTCACTGGTCACTGCTGTAGTAATTGGAATTCATGCCATGCTTGGCTCAATTAATTAGACTTGGGTCGATCCATCATCGTCCGTTTATATACTCAAACTCAGACATATGCGTATTTTATTTTCTTGGTAGCCCAAGGCGCATCTGTTTTCAACAAATGTTCCCCCCATATATGAATCTCTATTTTTCCAAGGAAAACTGATTTCCATTTTGTATCATGCATTCACTTCTTTTATCAAGTGTATGTTCATAATTCAATTATTGTGCACTTGTCTGATGGAACACTACTAACTTGATGCAAGAGCATGTTAGTTTGGAATCATTATTGAAATTCCTTTCTATTTGAAGATTGATAATTTTTGTTAGGCTCTTAAGGCATGTTTGATTGGGCGGATTATAGCATAGGTTTGGTTGTAATTTTTGTTATTTGGATTAGATTCCCATGGACATTCCATCCGACAAAATTGATGGATTTTTTAATCCTACAACTAATAATGCAAAACAAACGTAGATAAGAGGGGATTATTTGTTTCACTAATTCAGCTAGATAACCAATCCTACGCCAATTTCATGGATTGTTAATCCCCTCACTATATTAGTCTTGCTGATCAAATAGGGCCTTCAAATATTATGTATGTCAATTTGCAATGCAAGTATTTAATATGTATATATATATATATATAAAGAATCTTCAGTTACAAAACTCAGAATTAGGGTGGAAGATTGCAAGGTTTGGGAGGTACAATAATAGTTCTTTATATATTTTTTTTTAATGTTATTCAGGTTTTTCATTGCTGTTTGTTAGCTTTAGAGTTCTTTAGTGCCACTAGGTAGGACTAAGTCTTTGTGATAGTTTCAGCTTCCTTTTGTACTGCAGATCTCCTTCTCTGCTTATATATTATTTTATCTGATTACAAAAACCATGGAGAAAAACAGCAAAGATTTAAGCTGGTTCTGGTTGTAAAACCTGACACAGTTCTGCACTCCTAAACGCTAATAGAGAAGGGTCTGCTCAGAAGAATTTGAGTCCCATACCAGATTTATATTGAAAGATAACTGCATGTTCCTTGATGTCAGCTTTGTCATTCTAAGATTGTCCATCCCAGGCTACAACGTCACTTCCGAATTCAGGTTCCTAAACTACATATCAACACAATAAAATGTAGTAAAGGAGCTGGTTCCAATTGAATTAGAATTGGAATTGGGTTTTCCTGTAATTTATTGAATGGAAGTGATGTGTGGTTATCTACTTGGTAAGTGAGCGGGTGATGGTGGGGTTTGAAGTTTGAACTAGCTCTATCAGGCTATATCATTCGATAATAATTGTCTGCTTATTGCCATTTTTAATCACTTTTATATCGGTCTTATTCATTCTTCAATTTATGTTTTCTATTCATTCATTTAAAATTCAATAATTATTTTTCATTGAATTGTTTATAATTATTTTTCTTTTGTTTTCATTAGTTGCATGCCAGTTTGTAGTTGAATGTTGATTAGCACACATCTGAAATGAAGGGGGGAAAATGAAAAGATAGAAGTGTGGGAGAACAATTACCCTGCGTTAGGACAAAGGTTAGGTCAGGATTATCTCAATGAAACCATTGTCCTATCTTGCACCTCTATAAATGAGATCAAATTTCATCCCTTTGTTTCTATTACAATGCAAACCATTTTTGCTTAGCTGATCTTTGTTTGTATATATTTTTATTGCATTTTTAATAAGTACTTCTTTCACATCTCTTAGTTCATGCAGACCCTCTTTTGTCAGAATGAATAAAAGTTGTATTTGGTTCTTTTTAATAGGGAAATGGAGAAGGCTAAGCCCAAGGAGCTGCCGAAGAAAGATATTCCAAAAGAGGATAAGCACTAGGTGTTTTAGATCAGACCTGGTTTATATTGTAAAACTTCTCGTTCTTCCAGTTTCATTTGGATATGACAATCTATCTTGCACAAAATCTTGACCAATGTAGCTAGCTTACTGCTTTGTTTTGTGTTTCTCAACACTTTTGGTACTATACTGTCTGCTATGTAATATACTCTGAAGAAAGGTGTTATTCTTTTGATCAAATGTTTTGCTTGAGTGCAAAATTACTAGAATTTGCTTTTGTTCACACTCTAAAATGTAGGCAACCAAGCTCACTATCATCTGGTAAATAAAGAAGTAAATTAAGAACGATAATATTCATGAAGGGGAACATCAAAGAAATTATGGATATTCAGAGAACCAGTTGACATTTCAAAAGGCTTAAAAGCCAACTATTTTCAGGAGAATGGAAGCACTTTTGTGGCCTCTTTTTCCAACAAATCATCATGCAGCAGTTGAAATACCCTCATTGCGAAAGAATGTTGATGTTTCTGACTTGCTGAGCCAAAAACTGGAGACCGCTCCTCCATTCCTTGGGAGCACGAGCATTGAACTAGACCATCAAAATGCAGGCTGGTACCCACTGGCTGATTGGGAGTAATTACACTAGTTCCCAAAGCCTGTGTTGAAAGTATTGACAGAAGATAGAGAGAGCACACTTGGAGTCGGCAGAAAAAAATTTCTGGTGATCCCTGCCCCTTTGCGCAGGGCCACAATCATTGCCAAGCCGCTGGCTGATGGAAACTTCAGGGGCTACTGGATTGCTTCCTTCAGGGTCATTGACCAGAAAGAACGGGAATCGTTTGTCAACCCCTTTGTAGATGCAGGCTAAAGAATTTGGAATTGCACATAGTTGATCAGTGCAATACAACTCTTGGTGATGCTTTGCATCCCTGGACCATGTGGGAACAATGCTTGCTGTAGGGGTTGTGTATGGTTGTGAACTGTAAAAGTCTTGTACCTAGATTTAGGGAAGAAATGTTAGAGCCCAAACGGACATATTTGACTTTGATATCAAAGAGAAAACTATCATGGGTTCTCTAAACTTTGTCCAACATTTCAGCATGGGCTTGTATGGAGAATCAATTTGTAACTTATTGTTTTCATGACTTCACAGTGTAGTTAGAACAGAGTAGTTCAGGAACAATGTTAGGAAATAATCCAAACCATGGTGATTGGGGAAAAAGCTCCCAGAAGTCATGTAGAAGGCTTGTGGCTGGGGTTTCCTACGACACCGGTTGTGACCATCAAGGCGTTTTCTGCAGCTTCGCTTCTCTTCATCAAACTCCTGTAGAGATTGGAATCCACAAAGGGGGGATTAAGAAGAAACTAATCACTCATGAAGGGTAAACTCAATCAAATATTTTTCATGACATATTCACAATTTTTGGTGGAATCAGAATTTATCCAAGTTCTGTTTCACAGGAATAGGACCTAGAACGATGCCAAGTCCCCTTAAAAACAATCTTTATACTGATAATAACAATGGTTGAATCTACAACAGCAAAGCAAAGGAAATGGAATTTGAATGAATGCCCAATTCATACCTGCTACATTGCTGGCAGAACCGGAGCTCTTTGCCTCTAACAACCACAACCGGTGTCTTAGAGTGGCACTCACACACCCTCTGGCGGCGATGATACTCTCTACAACTACTTAGTTCAGCCGAGCAGCCATCCACTAAGCACGACACATTTTGATTTCCTTTGATAGGCCTCCTCCTCTTTGATGACACAATTGTGGAGCCTATTGGTTCCTTGAATTTGTCCCCAAAACTCCCAATCCACCAAGCTTCAAATCAAATGAAAAAACTCCCAAGCTGATGTTTTCAATTTAAAGTCCATTATAACAACAGCTTCCAATCTCACTCATAAAACCTACAATAATTGAACAACTCTAACTTTGGAGGTTTAAAGAGAGTTGTAATGATGTAATAAGAGAAAAAAAATAAATAAAATAAAAATATAGATCTAAATATAAATATGAATATCACGTCACATGTGATTCTCACTATTTATCGCATCATTAAAAAAAATTTTAAAATTTTAAAATTAAAACTCCTAAACTTTATTCTAAAACCTATTCTCTGCACTTTACCCAACTCACAGCGCCATAAATCCTAATTATATTTGATCCACATAAAGTTTGGCAAAAAGACAAGAAAACAGAAAAAGTAAAAGAACAGAGAAGCAAGTACAACAAATAATTAGGAACATAAAATTAACAGCAATGCCACTACTACGCAACAAAAAAGTACAACAGTACTCGATATTCAGAACAAGATATACACCCTACTTTTTGATACTTTTCTGATATTTTTAATGGTACATAAAATTTCTATAAAAAGAAATTGTGGGAATACTAGTACTTCAACAAGTGGAGCAGAAGAAACTTTGATTTGAGCTTTCTCAGCCATTCATTCTCTGGCCCAATAACGTGTTGGTCATTGCTAGAATTATTGGGTTGAGCTCAAAATATATTATAATATTCGAGAAAACACAAGATTAGGATATTAAAATGGGGAAACTAGCTTAGGATTTGTTTTGTTCTTTCTGTTGTCTCTTTATTTAGGGTCTTGTCTGCAGTTTTGGAATTGTTGGAACGGAGTGTAATTTTGGTCCGGTCCGATTTATACCGGATTTTACAGGTTCTTATCAAAAAAAAATTGGGGTGTGTTGGATCACAGGTCAGAAAATTAGGTCTCAGACTCAGGAGTATTCGGACTTTGGGCGGTCCAGTGGGCCGGGCCCCTGGGCTCGGGTTTGGGCAGGCTTAAACAATTTTTTTTTTTCACCAAAATTTTATTATTTTTCATTAAAAATAACACTGGATATCGAGCGAGTCAGGCTTTTGAGCAGGCCAAACGAGTCGGGCCCATGGGCTGTGCCGGGTTTCAAGACTTTGGGTTAGGCTTGGACTCGAACATTAATAGACCAGACCCACCTCAGGCCGCCCCGCAGGCCACAGGCCAAAATTACACCCCTTGGAAATGTAGAGATGGGAACATATAAGCCGAGCGAGCATAGTTGAAACAAAAAGCATGATATCGGAAATATTATATTTACACGTCATTTTAAATGTATTTTTTTAAATGTATTTTAAATATTTCTCTTCAACTTTGTATAGTAGAAGATATCGAAAATATTTTTTTTTATTAACTAAAGTCACTCGATGAAATTTCTTTGTGATCATACTAGAGAAATTTTAGGGCCAAAATTTCTCTGAGTTTGATCGAAATTTTTCTGAGTCAGATACAAATTTCTCTGTAAAAATATTGAGAAACTCAACTAATATAAAAATATTATATATCATTTATCTTATAAAATTTTAATATTATGGATCTTAAAAAAAATTCTCCTATAAATTTATGTCTGCAAATCATTTTCTTTCTTGCCCATCACATAAGATGCAGCAATATTTCCAACAGGGTAAAAGCTTTAGTGCAACTTTTTAAACGTATAAATTGAAAAATGTTTGAGGGTCACAATTTTCGTGGCTCAAATGGCTCAAAATTGCCAAAACGATGTCGTTTTGACAATTTTGAAGTTGTTTTGTACTCAAAACGACATCGTTTTAACAATTTCAAGCCATTTGAACCACAAAAATTGTGACCCTCAATCATTGTTAGTACAAATTTTCAAGGGTAATACTTTTTACTAGGATGAACCAAATATTGAATTAAAAAGTTTGGACGACAATAATTTTAAGGGACTCTAACAGTGTGATTTCGAATACCTATACAAATATGATTCTCTCACTTCTCCATAAAAATCTTCTATTCCTCAAGAATAAATATTAGTATTTAACAACAACAAAAAAAAAGTAGACTCAACAATCAGACGCTTCCGTTTAACCGTTCATCGATGGATTCAGGTATGTCATTTTGTCTTGATTTCTTGATAATACACATGATAAATGATCCAAAGTGTAAGATTTATGTTCTGAAATTTATGTTTACAACTCTAACAGTGCGATTTCGAATACCTATACAAATATGATTCTCTCACTTCTCCATAAAAATCTTCTATTCCTCAAGAATAAATATTAGTATTTAACAACAACAAAAAAAAAGTAGACTCAATATTTAGATTTTTTTTTTTTATTAATTTTTTTAAAGGAGAAACCAGTAGGCCGCGGTGAGACTTTGAAAGTTGTTGCACTCATTGAATTGAGTTCCACCATTTCACTTAAAACTTGCAAACTTGCTTCTCATCTCATTTGTTGGATCGAACTCATTTAAAATCAATTGGTGTTGATGAAGGTTTTACTTACCTTGTACGGTATATTATACTAATGGTCTTATAGTTTGAAATTTGTATTATTTTGATTCTTAACTTTTTAATTGTGACATATTTGATCCTGAATTTTAATTTTGTTCTAAATAAGAACAATTGAACATACTATCGCTTAATTTTAAGGGCAAAACCATCAATTTGATAAAATATAAACTAATTTGACAAAAATAAATGTCAAAAAAATATTTTTGAATTTTTAAAAAATTATTTCTACACACTAAAGATAAAATTATGTAAAATTGATATATCTTTTAGACATTTATTTATTTATTTTATCAAATTAATTTTTATTATGAGTTTGAATGATGATCGTGTAATGGGTGGTTATTGTTTTTATTTTCATTAATGTAACAACTCAAAAATTTAAGTTATCCTTTAAATTTTATATTAGTATTATTTAATTATAAATGATTTTAAAAAAATAATTTTAACTTTATATTATTATTCGATATTATTTTCTGAATATTAAAATATTTTTATTATATTTTTCTCTATATTTTTTTAAATCAAAATACACTAAAATATAACATTTTCTATACAATAAAAATGCGTGCCTCCCACGTCACTTGCTGCGCACGCCTTGTCACCTATATATAAGGATGAACATGTGCATCAACATCATGTCCCAAAAACTCTCTCTCTCTCTCTCTCTCTCTCTCACAGTATTTTGTTTTATATATAAAATTTTGAGTTTAGTTTGGAGTATTTAATTGGTCACAGTAAACGAAAGATAAAAGTTAAAATTAATGTAAATGTGAATTATATTATATCTTAAATTACTATTATATGTTTTACATATATTTTAAGTTACCATTTATTTTATGTAAATTATATTTTATAAATTATATTAGCATTTTTAATTTATGAACCTTATACAATAAGGAACACAATGAATATAACTGTTTTGAGTAATTATTTTATATGTACCACCACGGATGTCTCATATCTTGAGGGACTTAAATAATCATTAGCCCTCTGATTAGTCATTTTGGGACCCTCTGTCTGTCATGATCCACTGACACTCTAATTTCTAGTGTGGAGCAAAGTGTTGTACAGAGCTAAGTGCTACACAATTATGGGAGCCACGTCTCGAGTTCATAACAGCCACCTCTTGAGTTTATACATCTGTTCTGTTCTGTACCGTGATTATGATTTCTGGTGTGAAGTAAAGTGTTGTACGAAACTAAGTGCTAGACTATGGTGGGAGCCATCTCTAGAGTTCGTACGAGCTACCTCTTGAGTCCATATATCTGTTCTGTTTGGTTCTGTACTGTGGTTATGATTATTTTGTTTGTATGATTTATGTGTTATATGTCAATGATTTCTTGATTATATGCTTTGTATTTTAATATCAAACTTTGTTTAGTCAATAATTATCCGTAGTGAATTTTATGCCCTCATACTCTTACTATAATATTTCGCACTCTACCATGTGCTTATAGTTGTTTACCAAATTTTCAAGAAACAATCAATGTGTTTGGTTTGAAATTTTTGAATTAAGTTTTTTGAAAATTGAGTTTTTGATTTTCGCATTTTTTTTGTTTTTAGTGAATATTTTTAAAATTTTAAACATTTTTTTTCTTTTTTAGATGTATCTTATTTAGGTGTATTTAAAAAGTAAAAAAAATGTAAAAAAATATTTTAAAAAATTAATAAATACATAAAAATACAAAAAAATGTACTGAATTCTCTTTTTTTTCTTTTTTTGGTATTTAGTGAATTTTTAAAAGGTTTTTTTTACAATTTTTTTACTTTTTAGATATATTTATGTTAGGTATGTCTAAAAAGTAAAAAAAAATTGCTTAAAATATTAAAAAAATTCAGTAAAAATAAAAAAATACGAAAAACAAGAAAATAAAATTTTCTGAAAAGTGTTTTCTGAAAATAGGAACCAAGCAAAGTGAATGCAATTCAGAAATAGCTTTTGGAGAGTATTAGACGCAAGGCTGCGGAATAGACACACACAGCACTTTTATAATATTTATAATTATATTCTTCATATGTAAATATCGGCCTTTTTAGTCAATAACTTTTGTTATAAAATAGAAGCTCCAATGATTATTTTGGTACCTTCACTTAAATATTTTTTTTGCTCGCGTTTAATAATTTGTTTAAGAATTGGCCGAAAGTAACTTCAGTTACTAGTCATTACGATGCTTAACCCTTAGATACGAGGAGCAAGTCGTGACAATTAAATTAGTTTCTATTTTTTCAAAAGTCAAATATGGTGACAACTTTGATATCATTATTAAACCAATCCATCAAATCAAAAAATAAATTTTTGGTGAAACCCCCTTTTTGGGCCTTTTTATTAGGGTAAAGGATAGCTTAATCAATTTTTTTTCAAAAAGCCCTTGAGTAGGAGATGCCTGCCTTAATAGGGACATTTTATAATTTCTATTTTTTTATGACAATATTGCCTTTCTATATATATATCATATATTTGAAAGCTGAGCTCATATATAGTATATGGATCTGTTACAATTTGTGAAATCAGGAACGAAATCAATGAAGACGATCTCCAAATTTGAAAATCTCGCAATCGAAGATTTGTCCCTTGGTCAACAGTAGACGATCTCACCGCCGACGATCAACACTTTCAATTAAACCAGAGTTTCATTGAGATTTGTAAGTGTTGATCGAATTTTAGAGGTTTTTCTTCTCAAACGGGTATATTGATTTGTTGATTAATTTATTTTTTTGTTTTTTTTTTAAATTTATTTTTGTTGTGTTTGATCTGATTTCGTTTGACAGAATCAAAGTAAAATTTTACTCTAGTTCTATTGCTCTGTTTTTTGTTTGAGAGAATGAGGATAAAATTTTACTCTAGTTCTATTGCTCTATTTTTTGTTTGAGAGAATGAGAGTAAAATTTTACTCTAGTACGTGTTCTGTTTTTGTTTGAGAGAATAAGAGTAAAATTTTACTCTAGTATGTGCTCTGTTTTTGTTTGATAGAATGAGAGTAAAACTTTACTCTAGTGTTAGAATGACAGTAAAATTTTACTCTAGTAT